TTGAGAAAATCAAATAACCCAGGTCATCATCTTTGTGTATCATGTTGCATTACAGTTCCTCAATTCAACGTTTGATGTGCAAAAGCCTTGGTATGCAGCTTGAAGGGTCGAAATGTCTGATGATTTCTGTCAGAGTGGTGATATGCGCGCTGAACTGTCTCTTGTATCGAGTGACGAGGGCTTCTGATCAGAAATGCGCATGCCAGCCGCAATCATAGTCCACCTGAGAATCATCAAGTGTTCGGGATTCCATGTCTCTATAGCTCAGTGGTAGAGCATGCGATTGCAGATCGCAGGGTCTGGTGTTCGAACCACCATGGGGACTCTTTTTACTGGAAACCGGATTCGGGACACCATGTATCGAGGAAGCCTGCAATTCAGATTTTTTATTAGAAACAGCCTGGTGAATGAGATAAGTATTAAAAGATCCTGGACTCAAGGTTTTCTGTCGTTCTGTGCTGCAGTCTTCTTTATTTGCACGTATTTATTCCATGCAGTGATCAAATCATCAGTAGCATCATTCTTGTTACTGACTCTCTACTCTATTCTCTTTTGGCCGTTCTTTAGGCCAGTATGGCATCCACCAGCCGCGCTGGAAATATATGGACTGCTCATTCCAACAAGTCGCAAATACTTGTTGAAGAGGAGGAAGGCCTCTTAACTGGGGTTGCCTCGACGAACGTGAAGAATGATACCCAAATAGACTCTAATGCATGGTCTAGACGGAAAATAGTTGGGACTGCTGCTTTCTTTATAATTCTACTCATCTCTGGCGCCTTCGTTCGGACACTCGTTTGGGCGCCTGTCACACCCGGCAGCACTCATACACTCTCGGGATGGTATCAAGGCGACAATCTGCTCTCAAATGGTACACACGAGTTCAAACGTACCGTCATAATAGTTTCTATCGATGGCCTTAGGTTCGTCTCGTTTATTACATTCCTCTGTTTTCTTCTTCTAAAGTCACATCTTGAATACAGAGCAGACTATCTAGACCGAGGCCTAACACCTCACCTCCTTTCTATCAGCGAGAATGGACTTCGCGCAAAGTCGATGAAACCCGTGTTCCCCGTATGATGCTCTCTTTCTCATCCCAACAAGGGATAATACTGATGCCTGAAAAACTAGACATTGACATTTCCGTGAGTAGTGCAACCTTGGTGGAACGTGGCGTCTGATCAAAATACGTTCTGTAGCAACCACTGGGCATTAATGTACGCTCCTATCATTATCAATCTCGCCTCATTCTCTTATGCATGTTTACAGGACTGGCCTACATGCAGAATCTCATGGAATCGTAGCAAATGTAAGCATGACATTTGTCTTGCAACTCAGCTTGAGCTTTAACTTTATCGCCTCAGAACTTCTGGGACCCTCAATCTCAAACTTCCTTTCACTATAATCGTATCGAGTCCGCGTGGGTCCCTGAATGGTGGTATGGTGAACCAGTAAGCTAATTATCTATGCTTCCTTACTACTTTTGCTGACCTCTAATAGATGTGGGAAACGGCAGGAAAGGCAGGTGTCATCACGGCAAACCTCATGTGGTCAGTAGTAAGGTCTCATGCTGACGATAATGTATTTATGTATCTGCAGGCCGGGTCCCCCGAAAACGCGTACTGGTGCAAGTCCGACGTATTTCGTTCCCTGGAAAGATCATGTTCCGTTACCGGAGAAGCTGGATCAAATTCTCAAATGGATTGATCTTCCCGTAGAGCTCAGGCCACAACTCCTCATGGGTGAGTAATTCTTTTACAAGTTCGCCTCTTTCCATTCTAATGCTGATCCCCATAAAAGCCTACGAACCATCTCTAGATCAAGCTGGACATGCAACGGGTCCAATGTCTGCCCGAGTCAATGTGAGGATCCTCTCAATCACAAGCGCCTTGGGGATCTAACTCTTTGACTTTCAGCGCACACTTAGCGAGGTCGACTCTTTTGCCAAGGATCTTCAGCTCGCATTGCATTCACGTAACCTTACTGACGTCGTTGATATCGTTTTTGTCAGCGACCACGGTATGACAGACACCTCCCACCCGGAACACGTCTATATGGACGATATCATTGGCGAGCAAGGCCTCGTAGACATCGAACATGAAGATGGTTGGCCATCTATGGGCATCCGCTTCAAACCTTCCGCAAACTCAACGCATTACCTCGAGCTACTGCTCAGTGCAGCGGATAAGAACCCAGAGAAATTCGGTGTGTATACACATGATACAATGCCAGAACGCTATCACTTCTCGCAGTCGGAGAGGATAGCGCCGATATATGTCGTGCCCAAGATTGGGTATGTACTTACGACCAAGGAGGAAGGGGATATAGGAATGAGTAAGGGGGTATGTATATACATTCTTTCGTCTTTCTTTCCAGTAGTTGACACCTTTCTCTTTGACACTCAGAACCACGGCTACGACAACAACGAACTATCTATGCATGCGATGTTCATTGCCCATGGGCCTTTCTCCACAGATGTGAAATCTTTGCATCAATCTGGTACCAAGCCCAAAACTGGTGACCACTGGCATTCGACTACGAGCAACACGTACATCATGGAGCGCTTCCCCAACGTGGAGATATACAACCTTGTCATAAAGCTTCTGGGAATAGACGAATATGCAGCGCCCAACAACGGCTCCGTTGGATTTTGGGACAAGTATCTATGACGTCGAATCGGTAACACTATTTATTTATCTATTGCGCCTTCGCGCCACTAGACTACCCTCTTTGTACAACCTTTCTGCTAGTGTGTTAATAAACCATTGTTTTGCCAAAATCATGAACGAACCGATTCGGATTTTGTATATATATTTGAGTAAGGGTACAATATGATACATTGTTACACAGCGAAAGGTCGTGGAAGCTTCCTACTGTTAATCACCGCAAGAGCTCACTGTACTGTCCATCTTGAAATGGAAATGGTTTGCCGAAATATTTTTCATCCCAGTCAAGTCTCGCCCGAGCCAATTCTTTCCTAGCGGTGTCGTAGTGTTCAGCATTAATTTCGCCATCCTTGGTACTCTGAAGTCGACCAGCAAGGTTCGTGAGCATATTTTCAAACCGCATGTACTGGACATCTGCTTCCTTGGCCCGTTCAAGTTCATCTACCGTGAACGTATAGGGACAAGGCCCAATTTTTTCTCTGAACTTCGAATCCCAGTCTTTCTTGATGTGGATCAAAAAGAACCTGAGACCGTATGGACCTTCAGCACAGGCGCGGAGAACATAATGGATCATCATGCGGATATACACCCGCGTGTGGAAGTCCGTCACGGCATAGTGCTCTGGAACATCAAGCAAGGATTGATTCCAGTCAACAGTGCGAGTTGCGATTCGATGCTCGGCAGAGAGGATCTCCAGCTGTTCTGGGGATAGAGTGTTGGTGTAATCAGGCCAAGGAACCTCCCCAACGCTATAATTTTTGACGGGAAACACTGGCTCGCCATTGGGTTCAAACATATCTGGCTGATATTCTGCGATTTGAGGGACATCCCATTGCAGGGCAAATGGAAGCACGCATGTCCCTTCCCAGTCTATGCACCAGAAAAAAATCAACAGTGGGAGCTTCCTAAATCACCGCAAGAGCTCACTCCACTGTCCATCTTGAAATGGAAATGGTTTACCGCAAAATTTCTCATCCCAGTCAAGTTTCGCCTGAGCCAATCCTTTCATAGCCGTGTCATAGTATTCAGCGTCAATTCCGCCATCCCTGGTAGTCCCAAGTTGGACAGAAAGCTTCGTAAGCGCCGTTTCAAACCGCATGTACTGGACATCCGCTTCCTCGGCCTGTTCAAGTTCATCTACCGTGAACGTATAGGGACATGGCCCTAGTTTTTCTCTGAACTTCGAATCCCAGTCTTTCTTGATGTGGATCAAAAAGAACCTGAGACCGTATGGACCTTCAGCACAGGCGCGGAGAACATAATGGATCATCATGCGGATATACACCCGCGTGTGGAAGTCCGTCACCCAACAGTGCTCGGGAACATCAAGCAGCCATTGATTCCAGCGAACATTGCGAGTTGCAATTCGGTGCTCGGCAGAGAGGTTCTCCAGCTGTTCCGGGGAAAGGTTGTCAGTGTAATCCGAATCAGGCCAAGGAACCTCCCCAAAGCTATAGTTTTCGACGGGAAACACTGGTTCGCCATTGGGTTGAAACAGTTCTGGCTGATATTCTGCGATTGGGGGGATATCCCATTGCAGGGCGAATGGAAGTGCGCATGTCCCTTGCCAGTCTATAAGATAAGGATTCTTCATGCGAGTCACACTATTTTCGGCAGTGAGCTTTGGCACTATGATGTTATGGGAGTTAAGGTGGGGATGCATGAGACAATTCCGCATGAAGCGTCCGGATGGAGATACGCTTTCTACGACGGCCTGGACGTGTGGCGCGAGGGAATCCACCTTGTCAAGTAGGTGTTCGATCTCGAGAAGATCCTTGACAGATGACTTCGTGTAAATCAAAGAGGTTGGGTCGGCGCGATGACGTTCCACAGCTCGTCGCTCGAGGCGCACAGCGGCCTTGATATACTGCTCGACTGTGTCCCAGGGGCCGCGGTCAAGATGCGGCTCATCGTGGTAGCCACGCCACCACAAAAAATTGGCAATAGGACCGACACGTACTTCGTGTTCTAATTCGGAAACGATTCCAGACGGCTGAGACACCTCTGGAATATCTTCAGGAAAATAAATGCTTCCAAGCCTTGAGAAGGGAGTAGCGGACATGACAGCCATTTGGTTTTTAACATTTGTCAGAAGCGTGTCCACAGGTTTCCCGCGCATCTCAGGTTCCCGCCACTCATCTCCTAAGGGGTCCCCTACGTCTTCCATCAAAATGTAGGGCCATCCGATAGAGTTCTCCTGGTCTTTGCTCCATGACAAAACTTGCGGTGTATTCAACTCCCACTTGCGCATGAGAGTCATGGTTGCGACCTCACTTGCGATGATCGGAGAGACTCCGCTACCAAACATGTTCGAGTGGGGTAAACTAGCCATAAGCGACATGGAGTTATCAAAACGGAGTCGAAAAACTTTGATATAGTCGCCTAAAAATTGTTATATAAGATCACCTACGTAGAACGAAGAATGGGACACACTTTCAGAAATCTTTTTGATAGAGAGACATGTCTCGGCACCTATCGCTACACATGCCACACGCATAAGCTCTTCAACGTTAAACTGGACACGTCTGAGTTCCTGTTCTATACACCCAACATTCGCTTTAGAGCTGGATATAAACAAAAAGCAAGACAAAAAACCTACGGGGTACCTCGTTGTACAACCAACGGGATTGTGTTTGTTCACATAACTCAGTTTTAGAGGGCA